TACATACATACATACATACATACATACATACATATACATATTTCTTTCTATTCTAGTTTGTAATATTGCAGTTATACAAATTAACCTTCTATTACTATTAAGCCAGTTTCATTTTTCATCAACTACATAGAAAATTGTTAGTTTTAAATAACAATAACATTTTAATTAAAGATCTACGTATAATAGTTTTCTGTCATAGTTTATGTTTTACTTCATTATGACAAATGTTTTTTGAAATAAGAATTCACTTCTGAAATCTTGTTGCTTACACAAATAATCTGTACTTTATTTTTCTAAGTGTTTTACATTTATTCTAGTAAAGTAAAGTGAGGTTTCACATCTTTAGAAGTGAATCTGGTAAAAACTGCAAATATAAATATAAGGTTGAAAAGGTCTGGAAAAAAATTCTGAGGTTTGTCCATCAGTACAATATTGCTCTAAATTTTGCATTTGTAGCCTAATCTTAGATGGAGAATAACTCAGTGTATCAACCACTGCACAAGTATATGCACTGATGAGATACAATGTATGACATTAATAAGTTTAAGCCTAATCTAGGTCTTTAGAAATACATACTGTGAAGGTAAATTATCTTTACTTATCCCAACTGTTATAAACTTGTCATCTAAATATATATGGGCCATTCTCTAGCAAATGATAAAACTAGTAGATGAGGGCTATTAAAAGTTTTCAAATGAAGAATAAAATAATCTCTATTTCTTTTCTTTTTTGAGGGGGGTAGTTATTTTACAAAAACAAATAGCATGATTTCCTGGCCATGAAAGAAGCAGACAGTTCTACATTATGAAGAAGATGGCTATGGATCCTCATTAAATATCTTCAATTTCAACTTAAATCAAAACTTGACTAAAACCCTTGAAAAATATGTTTCTTTCAGTTGCTTTTCAAAATTAGTAGAAATAGATGCTTACTTATTGTTTCAAAATAAAAACTCATGATCATTAACTCTAAAATACAAATAGATAATAAATCTATCATTCTGTATCATTATTTGCATTGTGCAAAACAACAGAAGATGCATTATTTTGATAGGTTATGGTGAATCATGGAATGTTTCTCCACAAAAAAATCCTAAACCACATCTTTAAAAGTAGTTCTGCTAAGATAAAAATTATTGGCTCTAAATTAACACATTTCACTTTTAATTGTTAGATAAGCCTCACAGATAAGATTTAAATATAGAAAGCTGGTAAACTGTTTGAACCGAATAGGCCTAAAAATTGTTATAAAAATCAAATTAACTGCAGATATACTTTTTTTTCTACATTCCTCTAATTTGTCCATTAAGCCTCAAAAAACAGAAATGTGTAAAAAACAGCATTTCAGATCTATCTTTTGTTTCCCACAAGTGACTGTTCAAGAAACTTTTCCTTCAGTACCACAACTCATTAGTTGAGCTATACAATGAGAGATAAAAGACTATAAAACACTATCTATATATGCAGTATACTACTTAAAACTTCTTCATTTCATAGAGCATAATGTAAAGTTCTGTTTTTTCTAATATATAAATTTACATTTTTCATGCTAGAATGTATATCATTTGTTTGCCTTACAATAAGACTTGTAGTATGCCTACATCAAGAAACTGAAAATCAAGTATTATGTTCAAGAGCAAATATATGTAGTAATGCACACATGTTCATAAATAGCAGTGATTTTTTTTTATTATCATACAGTCATACTCTGCTGTACTGATGTTTATTGAAAAATGTTTACATGAAATATATATTAATAATAATCTGTAACAGTGAGTACATGAATAAATCACGAATAACTAGCTTAACAAAAATAAATCTGTTATGATTTTTGAAAGAGTTTTCAGGATGAATGTTACTTTCTGTCAGGATACCTTATTCAATACTGTTGCTTTATACTATAAATCATTGAATTAATTAGGTATTTTCTGCATTTTAATTGATTACATGTTGTTTACATGCATGCATACATTAACACATTGTCCATTTTCAATGCAAATAGTAAAATTATGTAAATATGAAAGAAATGGATTAAAATGTTTATAATAAACTTTTCATAAAATAAAATCATATTTTGGTTAAAAAACTAACATATATATATATTCAATAAGTTTACCTACTACCTATTTATTGTACTTACATTTTCCACATCAGGTAACTTGCATAATTTTGTTTTAATATCAGGACTACAAATCAGCCTCAAAAGTTCATTTGTTTTCTTTAGAGAAAAAAGAGAAACAGTGAATGCTTCAAACAAACATCACAGTTTATAATGCCCAATTATTATTTTCAAAAACAAAAACAACTCATTTCTAAACTTGTCCATTACTAATTCTGTTTCACATATAGAAAAAATTGGAGATTTCAAATGAAACTTTTAATTATGTCATTAGATTATTCTATATAATTCATACTGATTTAAAAAAAAAACTTTCATATACATATGTTCATAAAAACATGATTAGTTCTGACCTTAAGATGACCTAGTAAAAAAAAATTTCTAGACATAATTATAAAAAAAAGCAAGTATATTTAGAAACTTCTAGAAGAAAAATGTTTCTCCTTGTAAGCTTTTACATAATCATATAAAAATAATGATACAAATGGTATTATTAAAGGAAAATAGTCAACAAAATTAAATGAAATTAATAACACGTGGAAAACATACATGTATGGTATTCCTGATTTAGAGGAATAATGGCACACAAATAAACTACCCCCCCCCCTATAACAAGAGGTCCAAACATTTGATTGAAAGGAATGTTAATGTGAGAAAATGTGATGTAGAAAGGAAACAAACAAATTCAACAAACAGTATTAACACGTTGGCTGCCATGTAACTCACCAGAGGGTCATATGGCTTTATCAGTAATATACCCCATGATTTATAGGTGGTTTATAGTCCATGATATTTAAAATATAAAGTTTCTTTGTGGCATTTGACTCTAGGATATTGTGATTGCTTCTTGGCACTTCAGGAATGTTCTCGTTCTTTTAATAACTTTGTGATTTTGCTGACCTTCATGAAATAAAAAATTTCAAAGTGAAAGCAAAATAACATTACCTTTTATTCCATACACAACATGGTACAAAATAATGATTTTTCAAAAAATTAATAATACAATACTTTGAAATTGGCAAAAACATAAAAATATATTTTGAAAAAACTTTTTCGCATCCAAAAGAAACAAAAACAATCAACCTTATGATAAAATATTTCACCTATAGAAATTTTGTTTTACTGCCAAGATAGTAAATATTGTTAGTGGCTTTTACTGAAACATTCCAAGCAGTAGGCAAGATTGTCTTTACATTTGCCACAGTATGTAGAAACCCTCTTGGTCCTTTTGATTGCCTCCATACAACCGTGACTTCCATATCATTGGGTGTAGCATCCTGAGCATTGTTTGCATTTTTTCCTATTTGAAGCATTCCTGGTTTCACAGGATTCGAAAGTGTGTTTTGTTTGCTTGCAGAAGATGTGTTTTGTGCTTGATGAATTTACAATTCTTTGCACAGTGATTCAGCAATCTGTTGGTCTTTTCTCTGAATTTCTTTCAAAATTACAAGTATTTATAACAGCTGTATTCAAGAGATCTTCAAAGGAAACTTTGCGGTAACATCAAATTGTTTTCCTAAGAGGTTTGAAGTAACTTGAAATTTGATCAGAAACATCAATACCTTGCTTTCCAGAATTATACTATACAATCATTTCTGACTTCTACATTTCTTCATTGTTGCAATTTTTCTTTCCACTACTAACAATTTTCAAGTCATGTTTTGTAGACAGCATCAACACCTCTCACTTGTCTTGCCATTTTGCAACAAATATGTCATCATTTTCTTCACGCCCTACTATTTCACCTATTTTTTCAACTTTGCTGTTGTTACATCCTTTGGGTTACCAATTATGGTTTTGCAACGTGTCCCTATAAGATGAGTTTGCCATTCAAGTAGAGACTTGGCCAAAGAAATGGATATATAGTAATTGTCAGTAGCAATGGTTCTTCCTTTTCTCAAATATTTTTCTGTGAGATCTAATACAATTTGAATACTGTGTATAGTACCTTGTATAGGTCTTCCTCTTCATCCGGAATCCTCTTTCTCAAGATACACATAACTAGTGTAAGTGTAACCACTTGGATCACATAACTTGTATATCTTCAAGCCATATTTCTGAGCTTTACCTGGATTATACTGTCATAACAAGAGATGACCACACCATGGCACCACAAGTGCTACCACCTCACCAGGTATTTTAGTCCCAGTGAAGGTTTTTTTTCCAGGATTCCAAGCAAGTTTCTAATATTCCACAATTGATCAGTTCCAATAATCTGATTATCAGCAAAATGTATGAAGCATAGTAATAACTGAAATCAGTTTTGTGACATTATCCTTAGGACAAAGTCATTCTTGTAAAAGTTGTTTCTGCTCCAACATAGCTCAATTTTAGGGTATTTTTTAACTCCCATGTAGATGATTATTGCTAAAAACTGCCTTATTTCCATAGCATTGGTGTCTCCAATCTTTCATTCAGGATTTTCAACATACCTGCCTGTTCGTAATTACCTGCTGAATATTCAAATTTATCTGTTCAACCAAAAGATTATATATTTCATCAGTCACCATCAGACTGAAGATATCAACTGGCTTCATTGAATTTTGCTGCAGGTTACTAATTCCAGGTAGGCTTGGTGTGTCAGTAAATGAGAATACTCTAGGATATGTTCCATTTAGTGTATGTCATATGCTTGATGGTGCTTGCATATCATCACTTTCTCTGTCAGAGGTCCTGCTTATACTACTAGTCAGTTGATCTTGTTCAGTATCTAATATAGTGGAGTCACTATCTTGAGACTCTGAAGGTTCATCTTCTTCAGTATCTAATATAGTGGAGTCACTATCTTGAGACTCTGAAGGTTCATCTTCAGTATCTAATATAGTGGAGTCACTATCTTGAGACTCTGAAGGTTCATTTTCTTCAGCATCTAATATAGTGGAGTCACTATCTTGAAACTCTGAAGGTTCATATTCATCTGAATATAATATAGTGTAGTCACTATCTTGAGACTCTGAAGGTTCATATTCATCTGAATCTGAATGAAAGTTGATCATGTGAAAGTGTTCCTAATTACTTTCATTTCCTCTGAAGAATCCAGAAAACTGGTTTGGTCTCATACTCAATGGTTTATCAATCATTTTACCCATTTTCTAAGATTTCTATTTTTATTCCAAGATGTACACTAATCTTTATTTTATTACTATTTTATAAAAAATTATATACAACTACAGCTGAAAAGAAACAAACAACAGTTATTGATGTAATTGAAAAAAAAAAATTTAATTCTAGGTGTGCCCACCTGTGGGTCACACAGCCCATCCACAACCACATTGAGTGCCATGTAATCCACTGGTGGACACATACTAAAAACCACCTCAAGTAGATAACTAAACAGAGAATTGCCAACTGTGATCATATTATAAACCTGGGTTAAGCAGAGATGTTGATATTGCAGTTGGCACCAGAATGTGGATTAATATATTACAAGGCAGCAGCTAACAGGTTAAGTACTATTTACTTTGTTATACAATTACCTTACATGTTTTTGTGTTGAAAAGATGAAATTGTGGGAAAATAAAATAAAAACTAAGTTAAAATGAAAACCAAGTTAAGATATGATGACACAAAGTCAGCTTACACAATAAAGAACAGCAGTACTTTATACAATAGTTATCCTCTGAAACAGTACACAAGTTTTAGCTACCTATTGTTCTATGCCATTCACCTAGAGTAGTACCTTTTGTCATCTTGTGTTGAAGATAGCTGGGAGATCACATAGAGTATGTTATTCTGCAGATCAATCTTGTCATTCTTAAGGGAAATCAGTGCTATCTTAAGATATCCCAGGTGGCATGCAAGATGCAGATATGTAAAAACTACTGAATATGCAGAGTAAAATCAAAAACTAAATGAAAGAAAATCATGCTACAATAAACTAAATAAAACAAAATTCAATCTTATAATACGGGTACTATAATCAAATAATCTCAGTATACAATGCAAAATTATATAACAATAATGTATGGTGTACATATTGGAAATTAATTTCTAATTCTAAGAATGTAAGATTAAAAACAGGTAAGCTTACCTCTGAACTAGTGAAAGCTAGAATGTCCACACTGTAAAGGAGATGAACATGAAAAGAACATCAAAAACAAACAGAAAATATAAAACTACAAGTTATAGAGCAGGAAGATAATACTCTAGACTACAAGAAATACTTGGCCAAGCAGAGTTTGAGTAGAATCCAAAACCAGAAAATAATTTGGTGTAGACCAGCCTCATAAAAAGAATGGACCCAAAGAAAGCTCAAAAAAGGGCATTCTTCTCAGTAGGATTATTGCTTATAAAACTTAATCATTTGCTGGAATTAAAGAATGTTGGTCAGTTTTTAAGCAATAATGATGTATTGAATCTGCAGAGCCAACACTGGGACACAGGTGGTGACAAATAGATAGGAGGCACACTAGGAACTGCAGTCAGTCTTACGGCAACATGATTTATCTCATGTCTGATGTTGTGGATCCAAATTATGGTTTTGTTTGTTAGAAATATGATCATTCAAGATCATAAGAAGTGAAATTTGCCTTATGTCATAGTATTATTTATACTATTTTGAAAGAAGCTGATAGTCTTCCCAATGCAGAACCAACTGAAAGGGTAGTCAGCAGCACTGCTTTATGACAGACTGATCAAAGTAAAGATATGCAGCTTCCAGAGAAAAGTGGTCTTAAAAACTCTTTTTTTTTGTATCGTATGCAAAGCATTGACAACAATCTCAAGATCTCAGCCCTCAGTCTATGACAATCCAGCCTCTTTTATTAGCTATGGAAAAGCTTCCATCAATATTAGAAGAACAGAATAATTGAATAAGTTTGAAAGAAAATGCTGTCTTTTCTAAGCTTCTTCCATTGTACAAGATATTCTACATTCCACATCAGCACTAGTAGAAATGGTCTAGAGCCAGGGGTGAAGCTAATCATGAGACCACATTGAACAAAAATGTCACAAAGACTTCTTTCACCTTCAGTGCTTTCAAGATGCAACAACCATTTGCAAAGAAAGCTATCATTCTTTATAATGTGCAAACAAGTGCGAAAAATAATAAAAATAATGGTAATGCTTTAAATTGCATGGCATAACAAGATATTTACTTG